CTGTTGTTGTGAAAAGCATTTTGTTGGAAAAATTAGAAGAAATTAGTTATTAATTAAAGCCTTTGCATAAATTTCAATGAAAATCCATATATATGTACAAAGAAAGTTCGTTCTTCTGCTTTATAAACTTAATATTTGTATTCATTTCTACAAGTTTTGAAAAAAGCTTTTTCAACTAACTGCTCGATTAGAAAAGCAAGAAGAGTAAGCAACCTTTTGTACCCTACGCCACTTATGGTACAAGGTCATATTAAGTTTGCGTAGATAGCGAGCAGCAGCGAGAAGGACTTGAAGTACCTATATCCACGTTTTATCCTACCGATTAATGCAGGCGCTTGTGCCACACCGCCTGCCTGCCTGCCTGCCTGTCCGTCCGTCTGTCACTTTCATATGTTCAACTTATAGGCCACAATATTTGAGATATTTTCTTGGAATTGTGGCCTACGGACGAACGCTATTACGAAAGACTGTCGGATCGAACCGCTTGCCACATCACGGCTTATTTTGAAAAGTCGTCAGATGTAGGGTATATACTTGCATGTGAGCTATAATGCCCACTATAATGTTTTTGCTTGTTTTACTTTGAGTATTGAGTGCAAAAGCGGAGAAAGTGAGAATTGACAGAAACACTACGATCTGTCAGTCATACGAATAAACTCAGAATCTTTTCATTCCACAATTTTCTTGTTTATTAACTCTAGGACGAGCCTGCACATGTATGCTCTGGGAGAGATAAAAAATTTAATAACAAATAGAATAAGATAACAACAAGCAACAATAAAAATCACTTGTATTTTATTCATAATTGTCTCAGTCAGGTTTACGAGATTCTTTTGTTTCTATTCTTACTATTATTCCGTGAACACACTCATTCTTCTCTGTTTTTGTTTTTCTTTTACTTTTTCTCATTACAGGTTCGACACTTGAGTAATTAAAAAATAAAAAAAAAAATAAGAGAATTTTTATTCTAAATTGAAGTTTAAATGTTCGCTTCTAGATAAATGCATGGTACATAAATAATTTAACTTAGTATAATTCTCCTCGATGCCCGCGCCTTGCCTATGTTACGCTTAAATTAAAATTTATAATCTTTTAATATCAAATAATGTTACCTTGATCTGTTGGCAAGCTTTTGCTTGCTTGCTTGCTTGCTTCGATTTACAGGCAAATTCTAAGCAATGTCGTAGAGACGTTGCAAGTCAAAAAGCAGTCGCAAACATTTTTTTGTGGCTTAAGAACCTTGTTTTATGACAAAATTGATATTGAAGACGATTTCACTCCAAAATACCGCAAAACATAAATTTAATGCAAAGTCACAAAAAACTGTAACGAGAAAATATATTGTTCTCCCTTATGGCTAATGGTCGGTCACAGTACCTAGAGTGCACTACAGCTATCAGTGCTATTAGCTCAGTTTATTGCGTACCTTTCTCTTTTTTGCTCTTCGCTCCCCCCTTAGTTATTCATAAATCTTTGCACTTTTCAGTTTGGTTTCGTTTTTTTTTTATATTTGGATATAGGTCTTCACCTTTAAGTACTAATTAATTCAGTTGAACTCCCTATGCACATGAATCGATACGTATTGTAACTAAAAATAAATGATGTAACATTTTTCCAAACCATGTTTCATGCAAAGGAGCAGCAATTTATCTTATCCTTCTTTAAGTCCGTCGATTTGTCTTTCCATCCAGGAGGAATCCAAACGCGTGGAAAGATTCCCTTCTTTTTTTTATCTCATGTGAATAATTTTCTCGCAAAGTTAAGAGCCAATCGAAGAAAATTTGTAAGTGAAAAGAAGCCTTTGGAGGAACGCAGGAGAAGCGTGAGGAAACCTTTTCCATCTTCTTGTCCCGGGTATATTGCATTCATTTTGAACGCGTCAATTGTTCCATGTGAAGTTCTTCTTTAATTCGTAAATAATTTTACTCAGACATACACGAATGTAGAGTGAAATAGCGATAACGATGATTCGGGGTCTTCCACAGAAAATTATGGGCCGAAAGAGGCCGTACATGGGGCAGGATGGAGAATAGCTCAGTTCATAACATCAGGCCGCCGGGCAAAAAAGTTTCGACCGTCCGTCCGTCTCCGAAAGGAGTTTGTGCGGTTGTATTTCTTTCTTCTTCCCCTCCCCCCCTTCCGCCTTCACTGCCGAAGTAGGTAGCTTTACAACCTTCGAATGTCTCCAACATTTTGACTTTATTAATATAACATACACACAAAAGCGTCTAGCTTTGACAAGATGATTAAAAATATTAATTTCTCTTACGCAAACGTGGCTTAACATAATGATTTCAGTTTATTCGGTAGTGCAATTTGAAGAAGACAATCAGAAATTTTAGTATAGTTTGCTTTTTTTACTTCTTACTTTTGCATCCATATTACGTAGATATTTGCATATATGTATATATGCGAAAAAGTGATAGTTCGACACTTGAATGGTTACAAAACATGAACATCATATCGAGTTAAAGTCAAAATGTCAACCCAAGCAACCGCATTGTCATACGCAACACAAACCGCTAGGTCAAGAAATTGAACTGCACTCCGTATATATATATATAGTTTCAACTAAACGAAGGTATCGAATATACGCTAGCTATAAAAAACTAGACTTAAGTACTTTTGATACGTAAAAGAAAAATAACGTAACCAGAAAACAATTTGTGAATTGCATAAATATAGCACAAACTGGTTTCTCATACAAAAAAAAAAAAAAATTATAAAAAAACGGCATAATGCAGAAACGCAAAAAAAAAAAAAATAAACGCAATGACAGATGATTTCACGGAATTACTTAAAATATATGAACAGTTTTTTGGTAAAATAATTGCACAAAATCGGATATATATATATATATAGATATATATAGGCGACTGAGATGATTTATATATATATCCGATGATGGAATTTTCTCGCAAGGATAACGAGGGAATTTAAGCTCTCGACTATGAATGGGACTACGGATATTATGATGTGCTGGTTAAATACTTCTTACTACTATAAGGCTTTGCAATGATTTAAGCATACGGGAATGACTTTAGTAAGCAGGTGGTGAAGTGAATCGTGTTTCTTCTTTTCATTTATTTAGCATTAATTCTTGATAAAATTTTAAGAGCATTAAATGATTTTCTATTTTCTTACAATACAAAAAAAAAAAAAAAAAAAAAAAACGCTAATAATAATAACAAAAACTAAACTAGAAAAAGCACTACCAGTAAAACTTGTTTACATACAAATTGTATTGATAAAGTTGGCCATACGTGCACCAAAGATTTCAATGGATGCCTTTTCCAAACTGAATTCTGTAAAATGTGTGTAATATGTTTTATATGTATTAGTATATATATGTTTAATATATAAGTATTGTGTGCATGGTGGTAGTGCATAAACGTATAACTGTTGTTGCTAAAGGAAAACTTTAAAAAAAAAAAAATCAAAAAAGAACAAAACGACGAAATAATATTTAAATAGAGTGTCTGCGTGTAAATGTAATTATTCGCACAGCTAACCAACGTAAAACGTGTAGAAATTTCATTTGATTTCTTTACTCATGATTTATGACAATTATGTTAACAGTTACGTGTTTAAGTTGACGTAGAGTGTTTACTTTACACCAAAGCTTCTTAATGCAACATCTTTGAAATCTTAACCCAACGACAATAATAATAAGTTAGCGGTGTAGCCAAAACACTTTATGAGACAATTTAAATGTGATTAGGAATGAACTGAAGCTTTATAGGCTTTTGCATTCGTGAGCTGACATTACTTCGCTACTTTCATATGAATCATCAAAGCATGATATCTGAGTGAATTGTCTTAGGGAAGTCCATATGTCCGTCATCTTGATACTAAAGTAACTTGGAACTGTAACAGTTTAAGAAATAATTTTTAAAAAGTATTTTACATTGAAACGAAACGAGGTAATCTACTTGGCGTACCGCCCTGCTCTAGCCGCCAAGTAAGAAATTGTCACCATCGTTAAAAGAAGTTCAGCACAGGCCCACAAAGTGCCAAAAGTGATACCGGGACTATTTGCTAATAATCAGGTTTGGTTTTTGTGGGAGAACATAGAACAAAGCTGGCACTAATGGTTAAGAAAGCAACCGGTGACATAGTGTGGTCCAATAGGTTGCGGTTGCCAACTGTTTACTGATAAAGCTTCACCGAAAAGTCTTATGTGTATGAACAGGATTTCTATGTCAAGGTTAACTTTCTTTAGGGTCTGGCCTTCTCTCTTTCCACTCTCTGAGATGATGGGTTATTCCATCCTGGAAGATGTTTCAATAAAAAAGTGGTTGCTTTGTGCGTGTTAGCAGTTGCATCTGACATACATTACAGAACACAGAATTAATGTGTAGCGCCAGTATATACGAAAAAGTAAAGTTTTCTTCAAGAAGCAATTTTTCGCTGAACAGAATAAATCTCTTACAGAAATGTGTGTTGCTCCTCATTGACTTCCAGCTTCCACGGAATTCGTTTCATTAAAATCATTTTCTTTTCTCTGAGTGAGAAACTAGAGATTCGCTATGAACTTCACTTATAGGTGATAAGCATAGAGAAAAAATTCGACACAAACTGAATGCAATCCGTCTGTTGTTTGTACTATCTATCACTGAAACTAATTAACAATCATTTATGAAAATATGTTTTCGCAATTTTTTAAAATCGTTTTCTGCTGTAATTTTGTTTTATTTTTATGTTTTCTTTTTTTTTTTTTATAAATAATCCGTTCGCCATTTGCCGAGTTAATTGATATTAAATGAATGTTTCCTATAAACTTATTTGACTTGCCAATTACACGCTTGTGTGATATTTTAATATTCAATTACAAATCATAACTGAAATGATTCACTTGCAGTATTCCGTAAGCCTTCGAAATAATATAAACAAAGAAAAAATAATAATAATAATAATAACAACGACAAATGGATGAGAGATATAACCGAAATGACGTTACATGAAATGATTGAAGAAAGTAATTATCTGCCATAACTTACCGTCACTGGGCGGTATAAGCTTAACAAAATTATCTGGGAAAACGCCAATTTTGCCACGGAGTTCACCCTTCCACCAGCCTTTATCCGGCAACTCCATACTGTGTATAATAATTATGTCGCCCACTTTCAACTCCAACTCGTCGTCATTTTGCGGCGCGTACGGAAATTCTACACGACAATATTCCCGTTGCGGTTTTGGCGGCAAGCTTGGGGCTACATCATCCGCTTGCATTGACGTGCCGTTACCGCTGCCAGCAATTGTTGCTGCTGTTGTTGTTGTCGTTGTTGTATTGCTAAGTAAATCCTCTTTGGAATTATGAAAACTCAGACGATGCGTCTTTTTTGTTGAAATTGCGTTTGCCGTTGTTAGTGATGTTGTTTTACTACTTGCTGTCGACATAGATGAATTTATGCCGTCACCAACCGAATTTGCAGTTGAGGGCGGTCGTTTACTGGCAAACACCGGCGAGGGTTCGATGACTTTAACGAAATTTGAAGGGAAAACACCAATTTTATTTCTCAGACGTCCACGCCACCAGCCTTCTTCGACCTAAATGAGTATTAAGATGAAAACAATTTATAGATGAGTTCATGCATTTATATTATGTACATGTATATGTATATGTACATCTATATACATACCTCCCCCAGAAATTCGATGACATCACCCACAGCCAAAGAAAGTTCGTCATCATTGACTTGCGTATAACTGTAAATAACTTTACAGCGACGATTACTAGTCGCCGACTTGTCCCTGCAATTAAACAAAACCACACAAGAATTAAATTTATTCTTAAAACTTAGTCCTTGAACAAGAAAGACAAGAGTAACTGTATCTCTTCATATCCATTATATGTATTGAAATCAAATATTTAATATGTTAACTAAGTAAACTATGTTGAAAAGTTTTATGCACATGACAAACGAAGTGCCTTGAGTTGAATGTGAATATGTAAATGTGGCTTTTAAACAAAACAAAAAAAAAAAAAATTATCAATGAAAAGAACATTTAACCGCCTTTTATATGGCTTGTCGTGCAACAAGTGGTGTAAACAACCTTAGTTACCGGTTAAGAAACTTATTATTATTAAATTGGAACAATTCTACAAGAAAATATTTTTTAATTGCTTTTTTAACATGTAAATGAAAACACATGCGCATATATATATATATATACATTGGATAAATGAAAACAACTTCTATACACTGTACATATGTATGTCGACTTTTCTACCAACCTTAATATAACTGTGTTATCGTCATTCATGTCGACTACACGCACAAAGTTATCCGGAAACATGCCAGTTTTGCCATTTGTTTGTAGAGTGCCTTCCCACCAGCCGCCCGACATTTGTTTAATGCTATGAATTATAGCACCTTTAACTAAATCCAGTTCATCTGGCTCCTTCGCTGTATAATCATATTCAACGACAGCGGAAACTGTAAAATTACAAGAAAAAAAATATATAAATATATATATATATATATATATATAAAAACACATAACATGCAATAAACATAAAAATGGAAAGGATAATCATATACAGTCTGCAGAAAGATCTGTAGAAAGAGAAATTCGTAAAAATGTGTAGAAAAGAAATGATGTTAGGATGTCGTCAGAAGCAACTCTGTTGAATTGTTGAACGGCGCAACAGGTCCGAGTCATTTGAATGATAATAATTTCAATTCAAAGTTCATTCCAAGCGGGTAAGACAAACTGGTGTCTTTGCTTATGTCGTGACTTTTCAATCTATTTTTTTTTTTGTAAATAGGGAACACATTAAGAAGTTTATTGAGACCACTATCATCACATCACAATTTCAGATTTTGTGTCATTCTCAGACAAATTTTTGTTACACATCGCAATCTATTGATGAGAACAAGTTACAATTTCAGCATTTCCACCTTTTCGTCTATTTCCACTATGTCACGATTATGTTTGATTGCGTTGCACTTATTTTGGCGGCAGGGTGTGGTTTGCAATACGGACTACAGTCGATCGTAATTTGAATATGTCGCTGAACAGCAATTTTATAGTCGAAAGATTTTTCAATCGCTGACGAAAAAGCGATTTAGCCAAACTAGATCAGACTCTCTCTATGCACATAATAAATAATTAGGTGAGACATACTTTAATAACGAAGTGTTAATGTCTAAAAGGTGAGCTTCCACGATATTGTTGTATTAATCTTCTTTAATAAGTGCCAGAAGTCAAAAAAAAGTGGTCGGCGAAGAAGGGAAGGGAAGAAGGAGGATCGTTAGTTTCACTTATCTACGGAAGAGTATGCGTAAATTTTGATCACGAAAGGAAGTAAATACGTGACATCATTGTTTCGACAATCCAATACTTAATTTAATTTATGGAAATATTTAATTAGACGATTAGAAGATTGACATTTCCTCTCTCTTGTTACTGCGTGCAATGGTGGTGAACCACTTTTAACTTGGTCTTTAAGATACATTTTCTTTCTTCGTTGCCTTATGTTCGGTGTATAAGAAATTTTTGTGGTTAAAATGAGTTTTTCTATTGGCTGCACATAGCCTCGAATTATTTCCTTCGAGCCGGCCGTTTGCAGCGTACATGTGCGCTCTCATATAAAATAGAGAGAAGGGTGATGGTATTCTCTCCCTTTAAAACATCTTTACGACAAGATTACAATAATGTTTATAATGCCTTCAATATTTATGCCAACTGACTCATCATCCGCAGTGTTGTCTTAAAAGTTTCTTCATCATTGCAGCGTTTGTAGCTATGCCATATGGCGCACAATTGCGAACTTTACGCCTCCGCAAAAAATAGTATAATATAATAATATTTATTAATAAGACTAATATTTATCGACTTTCAACTGTTTTTTAACGAGTATAATAATGAGTAGTGTTAAAATGATCAGCTTTTTTGTTTTTTTTATTTTAAAAAATATATATAGAAAATAAAATCCTTTCCTCAAAAGCAAGCAAACCTATATCCGAAAGAAGAAAATGTGGAAACTTTTTTTTAAGCCATTAATAATATTAATAATAGTAATAAAGAAGAAGAAGAAGAAGATAACTGCCTCTTAACAGATTGGAAACCGCTATTAGAAATTGTATGACAAAAGAAATATGTTTTTTTTTTCTCATTGTTTATTTTCATTTAGTTTTTTTATTTAATTTCTCAATATTTGCGCGCGCGCGTGCAAAGATTTTGTGAAAACAACGCCTTCCAATTATTATAAAACAAAAATTCAATTACACGTTTCGTTGCACAAATCAATGCGAGGAGGCACTGCTTCTAAACAATCACGTTACTACTAAGTATTACAATTAATTTTCTCTCAACCTCACCTCAAACTGCCATCGTTATTACAAAATGTTTTCGATTCATTTATGATAAATGCATCTACGCTTCTATTAATTACAATTTTTACATTCGAGACAGGCAACGAGTTCAGTTCACCGATAATTACCGTAACATTTGTTAGATACTTTTCAGAAGATGAAAGCTTTTTGAAATTAATTTTTTAAAAATATATGAGAAATAATTTCTATTGAAATTTAATTAATTATGAAACAAAAAGCTCTCTGCCATAGCAGAAATAAAAACGGCAACTAAGTCTCCCGATGCCTAATCATACTTATTGGGCCTTTAAGTAGAGCAGAGCAGATTTACTCACTGCCGATATTCACTTGCGTGTGCGAATGGAAACTTTCTCAGAGCGTGTTATGCCTCCCCTTAGATAAGAATTAATTTAGAGAACGTTATCATCGTATCGGCATTTATTATAACAAATAGTTGATTATTTATACATGTAGACTAAGAGGAAATATTGTTATCGCATTCTGTTTGTTCGTCGTGCAAAGCATTCATTGTACCTTTACTTGAAGAACTTGAAGTCCGCGCAACAAAAGAAAAACATCTTCAATGACCTGTTGTTCAAAAAAAAAAAAAGAACAAAAACTAATGTGTATGTCTGTCTGTCCGTCTTGGAAAGTTCAAAGAATAAACGATGGCCGTAAACATTGAAGCGCCACTTGCGAAGTATTAAATGTGGAAAAAAGTGGGTCAATGCGGCAACATTTCTATTTATCGTTATTGTTTTTTTTTTCTTTAACCTTAGCTTAAATCTTAAGCCAAAAACCACAAAAAAAAAAAAAAAAAAAAAACGTTAGCTCACCATTACAATATTACACAAAAAGCCAAAGTCAGACAACCATGGTTTTCAATTTCAGTTTTGAGACTAAGCCATGTATGTAATTAAATCTGTATTTCTACAAACGACTGAGAAGCGGCATTAGTACGAGAATTATTAGCTTGCATCGAATCTTCAACACCCAACTTGTAGTGAAGTCCAACTGAATCTTATGCAAAAGTATCTGTGAGTCATACTCAGTCATGGGTATAGTTTGTCCTGATCTACGAACGAGCCAAGTTCAAACATAGCAATGCATATTTTGTGACTGCACACACCCACACCCACACACACACACACACACACACACTATAAAGCATGGGGCACCCAAGGAAAATTTTCATTTAATGCAAACGCTATGATAACACATTAGTAGTATATATATCACTATCTCCCTCTGTATGATATATAGAAAAAAAAAGCTAAAAATAAAAAAATAAAAAAAACAAGTGTTTTAATCAACGCAACCATAAAAACCCTTAAAAACTAGCTCATATATACATATATAAATGATATACAGATTTTTTAAATTAAAATGAGAAGCCTTTGAAAGATATTTGTTGAGAGTGGAGAAACAGAAGGGAAGGAATGTACTGTGTAGGGGAGATCATGGTTTGTTATTCTATGAATTACGTGCGCGATTTGCACGCTTTCCTCATGTGTGCGTTTGAAGTTTTCAAACGAACAATTGCACACAACATCATGACTTTGAGAAAAAGACTTATTGACAGATGTGTGTCACTATTTAATATTGCACTGATAGGCACCTCAACGAAAACACAAATTCACAAACTTACGACATACGATAAGCAAAATATTATGTTTGCCTTTAATGGAAAAAAAAAAAAAAAGAAAAATAATTTGTGTATATATAAAATTTAAAAATTTTTCTCTAAAAGTGCATATACGTAGGCTGTTCCACGCATTTACCCGCGATTTGAATTAAATTGAAAGGGGAGGTATCCTCTTTTCAGGATAAGGTTATTTCTTTCATCGCAACTCTGACTGCCGTAACGTGAGAGTACATGACCGGAAAAGGTCTCATGCAGTAATCGGATTGTTCCACGAAATGCATGGCATATGGCAGAAATAACTGGATTATCATAGCGCGATATCAAGAACCAATTACTGCTTCACCGATCTCATTTTCGAAAAAGTTTCGTTATTTTTGAAATATCACTCACAACAATAAAAACACGTTGCTCCCCCTTGTAATGCTCCCTTTTTACTCGCTCTACACTGTCAACTGTCTGTCGTACTGCCTTACCCTACAAATGGTGGCAAATTCAAGTCTTGCGTAAATTTTGGCAAAGCCTAGAGAGCTCCGAGATCGAGAGGGCTTGAAGAATCTGTAATTGAACACGTGTGGGTAGTCGCTTGAAATCCGCGATCTACGTCCATAAATCAGTTTCTTTTCCTGCATCAAAAACTAATTTTGGTAACACTGTTGATAAATTTGCAGCAAGTTTAGTGAAAATATAAAAATTGAGGAAGAGTGAAATAAGGTTACTATGACGTATGTCACTTATTGCATTGTGTAATATATTGGATGATGCGGAAAGACATATTTTATTAAAAACATTAGGATTCAGTGGATTTTTAAACTCTTCAGTGATCTCGCAACTTGTCATTTAGCCATTATTTCGTCCTTATCAAGTGCTACTGATTTTCCGGAACGTGATGCAAAAGCGCCGAATCACTTTCGGCGCAAGCATTCTGTCCATTCATCGCCTCCATACGCATATGGTAATTTTTTTCTCCCTTGAAGTAGAGTGCGCGGAAAGTACTGCTTCTGGCGTTCAATCAAATACAATTTTTCCCCTACAAACATAACGATCTTAGCTGCCAGATGCGTGGAGGCAGTGCGCCGTAAACGTGAACTTGGCTGTGAGAACATGGAAATAAATCCACTGCTGGGAGAAAAGCGAAGTGACTTTACGAACAACTGAGTATTTCATGACCACCCAACTTGTGAAAATCACTCTTTAGATTTCCCTAGTTCCCTGCAAGCTTCTGGGAAACACTGCAAATAGTAACCTAAATCAACTACGCTAGCTAGCATCCCGTAAGAGCACTACAAGCCGCATGCTAAAGTTTTCCCAAGAAAGAGATTTTTGTTTCTATATGGATATGCAGCCAGCAGCTTTAGAAGAAAGTTTAAAAGGTCCGTTGACAAAACCAAGCTTCTGAAACACTGCTTTCTTGCAAGTGATGCTTTTCTTTTGCCAATTGTCAATTTTCCCAATGTTAAATGGCCATGGAATGGCC